TGCTTACACACGCACACACACGTGTGTGTCCACGTACAACGCAGGTCAGAGAGAGGTACCGGACATGCGTGCTTACACACGCACACACACACGTGTGTGTCCACGTACAACACAGGGTGGAGAGAGGTACCGGACATGCATGCTTACACACGCACACACACGTGTCCACGTACAACGCAGGGCAGAGAGAGGTACCGGACATGCATGCTTACACACGCACACACACGTGTGTGCCCACGTACAACGCAGGGTGGAGAGCGGTCAGAAACAAGGCCCGCTCTGGGTTCAGATCCTGCTGCACAACTGGATTTCAGTCCCGCTGTCTTTCGGTGGAAATAGTTCCCGTGTCCTGCCCACCACACGGGGTGATTGTCAGAATAGACTGAAAGGATGGGTGTGAAACAGCTTTGGAGAAGTCCACTGTTCAGACGCGTCCGTCTTTTTCTACACCTCTGTGTTCAGATGTAACGTGGTCCACCCGCTCCCTAGAACCTGCCCTGGTAGAGTATCAAGATGATTTGGAGAATCTGGAATCACTTCTCTCACTAATAGTGCACCCTGGGCAGATGAGGTAGGGTTTACACACCCACCCAGCCCAGGCGCTGCCTCAGTCCATCCAGACTCACCGTGACCCTCCATCGTGTTTCTGAGGCTGCAGGTCTTCATAGGAAAGGACAGCCCATATTTCTGCCTTGATGAATTGGAACGGCCCAAGTATCTCATGTGATGCACCCTGCCACCAGGGGACCTTCCTGTGTATAGACCTGGTCACTGTCTGTGTAAATGCAAGAGCACAGCTGTACCCACCTGTGTCCTGAGTAGCTGTGCACACAAAACTGTAGACATGAAGGTGAGGCGCACTGTGTAACCAGGCCAGACAGAGATGCGGAGAAGGGGTCATCTGGCTAACCACAGTGCTGTAGTGTGCTATGTGACCCAACTAGACAGAGATGTGAAGAAGGGGTCATCTGGCTAACCACGGTGGCTTCAGTGAGGACTCGAGTGCTCCCACGCTCTCCTCTCAGAGGCTAACACAGACAGTTTTAGTCTTGTTGATAAGCTGGTCTCTGGTTTGAACAGTCAGGAGAGCTGTCCTCACACAGCATCGTCTGGAGGCCTGAGCTGGTCAAGCGTTGGCTAAATTGAGCTGCACATTAGCTGTGGTCTCTGCACAAACCAGTAGGTACACCACCAGAACAGAGAACCGAACCTGAGGATCTGTTTTCCTGTGGCGCCGAGGGGGCGGTTACTGCAGCCAAAAGGCTCCCATCGGGTTTCAGGTTCTTGTGACGCTGCAGGCTTCCCCACTTCAGGAACCTCAAGAAAGTGCATTCAAAGCTCAAAGGCACTCCTGAGTCAGTCCCCACTCAAAGCCACCCTCCGTTGGGATTCCAGAGCTGTGTGTTGACAGGAGATGACAAAACTTATCTCCAGCACAGCCAGTGGTGTAGTCAAACCCCCAGAGATGCATAGACTCATAGCCTGTCTAAAGGCGAAACAGCAGCCCTTCCAAGATTGCTATCCACAGATCTATCTTTCTAGAAAAAGCTAGCCTGCAAGGTCAATTGGTACCTTCCTCTTGTTTACAAGCATTAATTGAAGGAAGGATTTTCTAGAATTCTTCTGGAAACTGCCTCCTCATTCTTCCAAGTCAGTGGTTCTAGATCTACTTTTCAGAGAAGTGGCCTCACACTGCAGGACGTGTAGTATCGTTAGCCCTCATTTTGGTGACAAAGCTCATGGATTTTCAGAATATCCTGTGGGTGAGGAGGACCTGGCGAGGACCTTTGATGAAAGTAACTGACCTCTGTGTGCCCAGCTCCGGGATCCTAGGAACGGCTCTGTGGTTTTCCGTCCCTTCAGGCATCATGGTGTCGCCCTGGGCACACTGGAAGACCGCAGGGTGTTCTGAGAAGAACCCAGGGTTGGGGAACTGCCTTCCCTGACACCCAGCTGCACTGTGTTCTCAAGGCCTCCACACCTCACTCCTTCAGCAGAAACCACAACCTGGGGCTGGTTGGGGAAGAGACTTTCTCCACCCAAGGAGAGACTGGTCTGCTCACGGGTTTAGAGAGGCCGTGCTGATTCTCATCTAGAAGTTGGCTAGTGTCTCACAGAGCAGCATGGCCTTCCACTTGGACTTGTGCGTCCAAGAGCCGGGCTTCTAGGATTTGAGTTTGAGTTTTTATGGTAATGAATGAATCAAATGAAAAGTGAGGCATAGCCCTAAAGTTGCACATTTAATAGCGTCATCAAAATACTTATTGCAAAAATGGTTGTATCTAAAAGGAAAAGTAGACAAGTCCAGAAGCATCTTTCGGGATCTAAGATGTACCTCTGAGCAGTTGACTGGACGGCAGGGTCGAGCACTCAGACTCATGGCCCGTGAGTCAGAGCTGTCCCTCCGATGGGTTTCCGAAGCAGGACACCTGTCGGAGATCGCCACCTCTCTCCCATGGAGCAGTTGGTGGATTTGAACCACCAGAGAGGCATGCCCTTTGGCTTAGCAGCTCAGCTCTCTATGGATTTCGCCACCAGAGCTCACTCCACGGCGACTAGCTACAGAATATACGGCTTTCTAAGTGCGTTTTAGAGCTAGATGATAACGCTGGGCCATAAAGCAAATCTCAAGAAATTAACAAGGATCAAAGAAAGCCATATAGGCTGTGTTCTTGACCACAGAGGTTAAACTAGAAACCAGTGACAGAAGGATAAATAAGCTATGTAGTTGCAGGCGTAAGGTGCTGTCGAGTCGACTGTGACTTACAGCAACCCTGTGGACAGATCTACGCGTTGCCCTTCCCTGTGCCACCTCTGAACTGTGAGCATCTCTGACCTGCTCCAGCGCATTGTGTTGTTGCTGTGTCAGTCCATTTTGTGGGGGGTTTTCCTCTCTTTCTCTGACCCTCCACTTTATCCAGGGTGATGTCTCTCTCAAGGGCGTCGTTCCTCCTGAGAATGTACCCAGCAAGCTGTAGGCAGATGTCAGTCAGGAAACATGAAGCACTGAATGATCATGAAAATACTGCCTGCAAAACTCGTGAGATGCCGCTACAGCCCCAGAGAGGGATCAGCTGGAAAGTAAGGCATCACCCTAACATTGTACATTTAAAAGCATCTTCAAAATACTGAGGAAATCCAAAGCTGTCGGTGTGCCTGTTAAAAGTGTGAATCACAGTGACTGAAGTCGGTGATCAAGACTCTTCATTTAGGACACTAAACAGAACAAAAGCAAGGTGACTTCAGTGAACGTAGAGGAGGAAGGTGACTTCAATGAACATAGAGGGGAAAGAGAACTTCAGTGAATGCAGAGGGGGAAAAAGAAAATCAATAAGGTAAGAAACATATATAACTGAGAAAGACAACACAGTCAAGTATCGATCCTTGAAAAAATAAAATTAATCAATCCTCGTAAAAGTGATCGATGATGCATGGATCAGAAATTCAAGCTAGATTCAGAAGAGGCTGTAGTATGAGGGATATTACTGCTGATGTCAGATAGATCTTGCCTAAAAGGAGAGCATGCCTGAAAGATGTTTACTTGTGTTTTCCTGACTGTTTAAAGGAATTTGACTATGTGGATCATGGCAAATTATGAATAATTTTGAGAAAAATGGGAAACTGAAAGCACTTAATTGTGTTCATGCAAAACCTATGCATGGGCCTGTAAGCAGTTAATCCAAACAGAAACAAGGGAATTCTGCACAGTTATAATCAGAAAAAGTGTGTGGCAGGGTTGTATGCTTTCTCCATACCTGTTGAGTCTTTAAAGTGCTAAAGAGCAACGATGTCAGTTAAAGACTAAGGTACCCCACTTCCATGCCATGGTATTTTCAGTTGCTTCATATGCATCTGAAAGTTAGGCCATAAATTATTATTGTTGTTATATGCTGTCGAGTCGCTTGCAACTCATAGCAACCCTGTGTACAATAGCCCTAAACCCTGCTCTATCCTGTGCCAATCTTATTGTCCCTGACACACCTACCCCAGCACAACAGTCACTTAATCAATCCATCTCATCGAGGATCTTCCTCTCCTGCGCTGTTCTCCACCTTCCCAAGCATGACGTCCCTCTCCAAGGATCGGTCCCTCCTTGTAATATGTCCAAAGTAAGTCAGACACAGCTTCAGAATCCTTGCCTCGAAGGAGCAACCTGGTTTTACCCTTTCCTGAATGAACCTGTTTGTTCTCCTAGCCATCCATGTTATATTCAATAGTCTTCTCCAACACCACAGCTCAAAGGTATCAATTCTCCCTCTATCCTCCTTAGTCATTGTCCAGCTCTCTGACTCATAGCAAGCAATTGCAAAGACTAGCTCAAGTGCACCTTAGTCTCCAGACTGACATCATTGCTCTGCAGTACTTTAGCGAGGTCTCTGAAAGCAGACTGTCTCAATGCAATTCATCTCTTGATTTTGTGGCTGCTGGTACCAAGAGTGTTGACTGTGGAGCCAAGCAAACTAAAGCTGTGAACAATCTCAATCTCTTCACCTTCCATAATGATGCTCCCAATTGTCCCAGTGGTGAGAATCTTTGTTTCCTTGATGTTGAGCTTCAGTCCATAATGAAAGGTGTGGT